TGTTGGTAACCCTTTTTGAAAGGTGCCGTTTAAATAATTATCAAAGGAAAACTTGTATAATTATGATTAATATTTCGTCGTTTGAAGTTTTTAGCTCATGGCAAAATAAACAGACAAGAAAAATTAAATAAAATGAGATAAAGAGCGTAAAGAGGCTATAAACGTAATTTCAAGTGACACTCCATGCAAAGAGAAGGCTCGATTTATTTAACGGTTGATTAATTAGATATCAAAGGTTTTGTTTCTTTAAAATGTTTATTTTAATTTGCAAAAGTGACTTGCACATTTCTTGCTTGTAAGAAGCAATGGAGAAATTCATAGAAATAAACACTTTTCGATTTTGAAAAACGACGGCTTTATCCACATTTTTTATCACAGTAATGTTTTAAGGGTGCCGTTGTAAATTGCGCTTACAGACCCTTTAACAAAATGTACATTTTGTACATTTTGTATTATTAGAGGTGACTTAAAACCTCATTAAACAAGCTTGAGAAGGAATTAGTACAAGATTAGCCGTGTAATCCCGGATAAAGGAATTAGTACAAGATTAGCCGTGTAATCCCGGATAAAGGAATCACAAAACCTGAATTAGATCTTGATTTGACGTTATTTATTTAAAAGAGATCACCCCACCCCACCCCTCTCTTCCCTCCCAGTAAACACACTTCAATGCATTGCACACACACAACCTTATTTGGAGAAAGAAGGTGGGATTTGAGTCACCCCTGAAATAGTTTTGTCTCATTAATTTACAATTAATAAAAATAAAATTTAGTCCCTACAGTCGAACCTAGTGGTGTAATGGTCATTTTGATATTTGTAAAAAAAATTCCTTTAAACTTTCAATAAAGTTTAATTCGTAAACATAGATCCAGACTGGATGGACTTTAAAGTTTCGTTATTTCTTGGTCTTTGATTTTACCTTCTCACTTATATTTTTTGTAGCCTTTGACATGCACATTTTAGATCGGTAAAGCGCTTGTTTTTTAGCTTTAGGTTTGAGGAAGTAATTGGCAAAATTCTTGTGCGCTTGCCAACTTTGAATTATTGCATCTTGATTCAAACATTTTTTTTTCGGATAAATACCAGGTATCAACTCTTTGCGGCGGCAAGCGTGACAAATAACAAACTATTTCAATTAACAATTAGTGTCAAATCTATAAAGAAGGGGTTTGGTGGATTAAAACCGCCTCCCATACTTGCCCGCCCCCCTTACTTAAATCCAATACGCCCACTGTCAATCAATTTGTCCAATGAGTCCAAACAATTTTTTGTTGACCAGCTCGCTAAAATGAGTCTGAATTAAATCAGAGCCAAGAACTTTTAAATTATGTGGAACTATTCCTTTACAGTTAGAACAAGAAACCCGTAGAAGAAGAGGACGCTATAAAAATCAATATTAAGTTGATACAAAGAAATGGTTTCATTAGTTTGTAATTAAATCCCTTATTAAGTGCAATGGAACTGATTATACACTGTACAATTAACGTTTCACATTTTTGCATGTACTATTTAAATTCATATCTTGAGTCTAGAATTCTTCTTAATATTTCAGAATTTTCTGGTTCTCACTGTTCATTTGACCTTTTTTTTTAGCTCAAAAGATTTTAAACATTAAATTAGGAATTGATTTTTGAAACCTTATAGCTTTGCAATCCAATGTCGTAGACCTTAGATATTTCAAACTATGAATTCTGTTGGATCAAATATTTTAAGTTTGAAATATCAAAGGTTTAAACCATCCGGTTGCAAAAATATAGGGATGTGTAAATTCAGAGTTTGGGCCAAAGCCTCAATTCCTTTGTCTGCAGCAGATGCTATGGATTGATAATACTCTCCTAATCGGTTTATTAAAGGGACTGTAAGCGTAATTTTAAGTCATTATCCATGCAAGGATGGTATAATGCCCGATTTACTATGGTACCCTACAACGCTTTATCTGATCTATTATAATTTGATATCCATGTTTTTGCTTCTTTAAGCTGTTAATTTGCATTTACAATTTTATCCTCATTATTAGTATTTCTAGTTGGAGCGACTGAACGCACACTTATACAACTGGTTAAGGTTAAAGAGAATATAGACCTCAGTTTAAGTGACTCTGTATTATTACAAAACGCTACATGTCTGATTTACAACGGTACTCATTAACGTGTAGACTAAGATATAGTTGCATTCCTGTCTTTGATAAATAAAAGTTCTTTAATTTTCTTATTTTTCAACAATTAATAAAAGAAATCCACAATTTAACAATTTGAAAACCAATGTAAAGTTAGTTAATCAAAAGAAATAGAAATCAGTTTTTTCAGACAAAGGTTTTCAGGGTAATCGGAACAGCTACTACTGGAGAGGTACAGGGTGTCCCACGAAACATGACAGTTGGTGAATAGTTTAAAATGTCTTCTTAAATAATATTTCAAGTTGTTTGTTGCCAACGAGAATAATAATAAATATTTTTTGGCATCCATGATTATAGTAAAATTGATTTCTAAGTAAAATATATTTGAGTAAAATTTATTTTATACTAAATAAACTGCAAAAAAAGTCTTTAATATCTAATACAGCATATGGAAGAAAACATTCAAAACTATTCACCAACTGGCATGTTTGATGGGACACCCTGTACCTTAAATTTAGTCTTTAGTCCCTTTAAGTTTGAATTATTTGTATCCCAAGTTTAAAATAATGTTTTCTTCGCATGTTTTGCAAATAAAAACAGGATTGTTTGAATTGGCATATCCGAATATTGATCTACGCTGTGCAATATGCAATATGCATAGCAGGCGCAACTTGGATATTATTAAAGGGGGGGGGGTGTAAAACCCGTGTCACTTATGATATATTTTTGTTTGGTAAAATGTAATAAAATGCAGGCGAAACAAGTTTAGAAATAAATACAATAAGACAAAATTTCAATCGGAAGTATTAATAAAACAAGATATGGCATATTTGGCTTTTTCCCTTGATTTCAACCGCCAGTAAATTTCCATTTCAAATCTCTGGCACCGTCCCTCCTTTTAGACTGGGAGGGGGGAGGGGGGAGGCAATTATTGCGCCTCTGATTATGCCTAAGTGGTAATGTTTTAAATCTTTTAAAATATACAAAACTTTTTTTGACTTTGAGTGTGCAACGTGAACGTGTAACGTGTTAGGATAAAGGTATATACAACTTTAGTTCAAAGTTCACTTATGTCAACAGGAGAGAAGGGATAGGGGTGATGTAGATGAGGGGGTTGGGGAGCGCGGGATGGTTACTGAGAATGGGACGAGGAGGTAGAGTGGAGGGGTCGAGAGAGGAGAGGGAATAGAAGTGAAAAGTCACAAAGTCGTAAGTGTAATGTTAATAGAATTTGAACCTCTCCTTCAGGTTAGTTTGCAGGAGTTATGTTAATAGAATTTGAACCTCTCCTTCAGGTTAGTTTGCAGGAGTTATGTTAATAGAATTTGAACCTCTCCTTCAGGTTAGTTTGCAGGAGTTATGACAAAAAACTATAAAATATTAATCTTGATATTTGATGTTAACTACGTTTTGAAATATTCGTTTGAAAGAGTTTTGTCTGTTGAGTCTGAATTTCATGAATTTGAGCCGCGGCTCAAACTGCCAAAAACCGGCTTCAATTGAGCGCCAGCTTAAATCTTTTGAAACATTGAATACAATTTTAAGTGGAACCAATCATATTTGAGCCGCGTCTCAAATTCAAGCCACTGCTCAAATTCTTTAAGTTCGGCCTCAGGACTATAATTTTGCACTAATTCAGACTATTTATTTTGCCCATGCTCATTCCAAGGATTTAATGCAAGGAAAGTTATTTCAGAGGTGTACGCATCTTTTGTACTGCAGTGTACTGTCCCTGGGCGGTAATGTAAACACAATACGGATGTCGAAGCCTGACATAGGATCTATCTATCACATAAATAATCAATGAAATATTCTGGTCAATGGAAACTATTATGTGATTAATCAAAATTATCAAAATTCAATGCTTTTAACCCCCTCGGATACTAAACGAACATTATGCATCTATTCTTATTTACAAATTCCGCCCAGAGAGAACTGGTTTCAATATGTACGCAGAGTATACGCAACTGCAATTAACTTTCCTTGCATTACATTTTTGGCTCATTCCCTGTATTTACAATCCTTGGTTTTGACTCCTATCGGGTTTAATGATGATCTCACGGTCTCTGTGTGTAAAAATTACCCCCCGGAGCTACTGGCATTCTACAAATAGTTTTCGTGCAACTATATTTGGCATAAAGAAGAAGAATAAGAAGAATAAAAGAATGGATGAATGGAAGAATGGATGACAACGAAGGAAAATAAAACAATTTTGCCTCACGCTGATATTCTACAATAGATTTCAAGATACTGTTAATTTCAAACAGATTTATTTTAGATTTAGGAATAACTTGTTGAACAATGAGGATCATCATCTTATTATTCCGATCTTGGTGTATCTTTTAAAAAGCAAATTCTCTCTAAATATTCGTCTCTTCTATATATATCCTTCTCATCTATATATATACTTCTCATCTATATCTATCCTTCACTCCTATATCTATCATCTTCTTCTATATTTAACCTTCTCTTTTATATCTATCCTTCTCTTCTTAATATATACCCTTTTCTTCTATATATCCTTTTCTTCTATATCTATCTATCCTTCTCTTCTATATCTTTCCTTCTTTTCTTAATATATACCCTTTTCTTCTATATATCCTTTTCTTCTATATTTATCTATCCTTCTCTTCTATATCTTTCCTTCTCTTCTATTTCTATCCTTCTCTTCTATATATATATATCATTCTCTTCTAAATATATATTCTTTTCTTATATATATTCTTCTCTTCTAAATATATCCTTCTCTTCTATATATATCCTTTTCTTCTATATCTATCTATCCTTCTATTCTATATATATCCTTCTCTTCTACATCTTACCTTCTCTTCTATATCTTTCTTAAAAAAAATAAACTAAAAATATAAAATAAAATAAAAAATATTTTGTTTCTATAAATATATTTAGGAGTGTTTAGAATACTGAAGTATGCAGATTAGAGTTTTGTCTCAGGAATCCTGGCATTATACATAGATACATACAATGATACAGTATACATTTAAGCCGCGTTTATTTGATTTTATAATTTAACGAAGATCTGATCTTCTTCCGTTCTTTATCCTTTATTATTTTATTAGATATTCGTCTGGCAGAAACATCTTGCCTCTTTTTTAAGAACTCTAGATTTTCTGATCCTGTAGCTTCAGCAGGTTGCAGGTTGCAGGGTGCAGGTACATCTGTTTGGGACAAAAACAAACATTCTTATTGTTTTTTTTGCCTACAAGTATTCTAGCTTTCAGTTAGTCTATAAATCTGAGCACTGGGCATTTTTAATACTCTGGTATCACAGTTAGAGTTAGATTAGGTCGGATCTTCAAGCCTCGGAGTCTGACAGCCTCTCCGTCCTTATCTCCATCTCATGGAGAGGTTTCTGTCGTGTCTCTGGGATGAATATTCCGGAGAAGATGCATCCTAGGAAACATATCCCGGCGTAGCTCCAGAAGGTTCCGTACAATCCTAGGACGGAGTTTAGATCTACGAAGGTTTTTACACCCATGAAGGCAAAGGCATAGCTGATAGAGGTAGTGAGGGAGCTTCCCGCCGCTCTGTACTCCAGGGGGAATAGTTCTCCGACCAGGAGCCAGGATATAGGTTGGATCCCGACATTGCAAGCACACTCAAACAGTAGGATAAGAAGGAGAGGTAACCAATCTAACCTTCCAGACGGTTCCATCTCACACAGGTATGTGTATAGTCCGAACCCGGTCAAACTCAAGGTCATGATTAGACCAGAGGAGATGAGTAAAGGTTTTCTTCCCATTTTATCCGCCAGGATTCCGGAGAACATTGAGGCAATGAGTTGAACCGTTGCTGTGATTACAGCAACTAGATGAGGGTTTAGATCTCCGAATACTTGGCTAAATATTGTCACTGCGTAGAAGTTGAACGCCATGGCTCCAGAGAACCTATTGAAGAACATAAGGACGGATGTTAGGAGAACTGGTTTCACTAACTGAGGAACCAGGACGGATTTACATCCGCTTCCTTGCTCTTTCATCCGCCGTATGTTCAGTTGAAGGATTCCCAACTCTGTGGAAACATCCGCCATTTCTCCTTTCAACCACTGAAGGGATCTCTCCGCCCTGGCTATCTGTCCTGAGTAGACGAGGTAGCTGGGAGTCTCCGGGGTGTACTGCATCGTCACTATGAGCATGAGTGGCGCCGAGGCGCATACAAGTGCCAGCTGGCGCCAATCTAACCAGGCGCCCATCAGGAAGCTGGCAAGCATACCTAGATGTGCAAATATCTTTAGACAAGCAGACAGGCGCCCTCTTAGTTCAGGTTTAGCTATCTCACTGATATAAACCTGAGATATTATATTTACTATGGCGGAGCATATACCCGCCAGGAAGGCGGTGCTGTATATCATCTGGACCGAGGTAGCGAATACGGTTAGGCACCAGGAGGCGGAGAAGGGAAGCGCTACCACGAGGAGACAAGCCCTCCGTCCACCCTTCAACACCTGACTGGATAATAACCCTCCGAAGAGAGCTCCAAGGAGGGATAAACTAGCAATCCAGGATCCCTCTTGCTCCGAGATTACAAAGGTCTGGGATGTGTTAGGTTGGGGAGATTGTAATGATGCAAGAGCAGGGGAGGTATATCCTTTACACAGACCCACAGAGAACGGTCCGAAGGCAATACCCAAAACTGCCAGAATCTGAAATACAAAAATAAATAATTTACTGTCAAGATAATTTATGGTCAAAATTCGGTGGAAGATTGTAAATAAAAAAATATATTTAATTTTCTAATTTAAAAATTCTTTTAGTCTGACCAATTTTATTTATGTCTTGTAGAATCTTTCCTACTTTCTGAAAGGTTTCACATTGATATGTATAAGGATATCTACTCGATATAAAGCAATATTTATTAATACTTATTTTAACTCAAACTCTGAACTAAATGAATATAGAAAAAANATTCGTTTATAGTGGGCCAACCAATTATAACAACCTACTCTGGTTAAAAGGTGCAATGTATTGAACTGACTTTTCGAACAAGGATTTTTAAAAGTATTTTTGAATCCTAAAACACAGAATTCTAAAAACTTAAATTTGAACCAGCCGGCTCAAAAAGATTATTTATTATGATCTTGCCAGCTGCAGTGATTTAAATTGTACTTTTTTTTAATGTTAAAAGGATTGTGAATTTTCCATATGACTGTTATAAGTGTTGTTTTTTTGGGTCAGGGAGTAACTAAGAGAAGTGTGAAAGTATAACATAATTTGTGACAGTTTTCTAACAATTTAGGATTCAAGGCGTTGAAAGGGCCAAACTAAACATCAGAAAAACAAATAATATANTGGAAAGGAGACGGGAGTAAGAAAAATAAATTTGCATGTTTTCTAATTTTGTTTTTTATTTCTGAACAAACAACTTTCATTTCAAATCTATTGCAAATTTTCTGTGAAATATTGATAAAACTGTCAGAAACATTGAGTGTCTAAAACTAAAACTTAATTCTAAATAGTATATAAAACCAAGTGTCCCAGTTTTTCTTCATTTATTTTAATAAATGACATTTAAAACTATGAAATACTATTTCAAAAGTATTTATGAGTATAGATGTCGTATATAAGTTTAAACAGAAGTACTAAGATAGTAATTAATAAGCTGAAAAAATATACATCAGACATTATTTACGTTCGCAAAATTTAGCGTAATTTCAAGTGACCCATGAGCAAAAATGGCAAGGCGCGGTACCCTCAAAAGCTTTGTCTGATCACAGATATCAATGATTATAATTTTGAAAACTATTTTGAATTGTGATTTCTCTACAAAAGTAACTCTGCCATTTCTACTGCAGGAAAACATATATTATCACTTAAACCTAGAAAAACGACAATGTCTTCCACATTATTGATCAAATAAAGTTTTGAAGGGTACCATTGTGAATCTGGCATTGTCATCTTTGCATAAAGGGTAATATGAAATTATGCTAATAGACTTACAATTCCTTCAAATCATTTGGACAACATGGATGTTTTCAGATTTTAAGACAATATATTTTTTATTATTATTCAATCCAATTCTTATTAACCTGTGAATATGAAGATCTGTCCTTCTCAACTAATCCAAGGGTTGACGGCATTTTCAAACTTTTCAACCAATTTATTTAAGAATATAATTATCCATCAACTTTAGTGTTCATTCCTCTTTTTGATGAACTCTCGTTAGCACTTCGTGTTGTGCCTATTCTTGTAGAATGAATAGCTTTAAGCTGTCAAAAATTGCCAAAAAAATTGATGATTTTGAAATAACTTGCGGTAACTTGCTTCTACCGTCAATGACTGATAAGTACTGAATTGCAATTGTCCGAGTCCGATAATAAGATATAGGTCGGGCCGCGTCAAGGAGTTGGGTTTAGTCAGGTCAGAGTGCAAGCCGTGCCGGTACAAAATATTTCGTAAATTTGAAACTTAATATTGTTTTTTTAACTTTTTCCTTACATAACTTGTTCCTAATTGCAAATTAAGCTGTGTACTATTTTCATACTTAAATCACCGTGTAAAAATCTAGCGTGAAAATATATCATTAAAATGTACCTATATATATATAAAGCACATAAATTCAGTCTGCTTATAAAAAGTCTCATCAAATTTTAAGCGTTGTATCGCATTCGTCTTCAATTTTACTGCTCTAACTTAAAGATGTTTTTCTGTAGCCCTTTGCATGTATATTTTAGCACTATAAGGCACTTGTTCTTGGCCTTGTGCCTTGTTTAAAAGTGATTGACATAACTCTATTTTGTTTGAGAGCCTGAGACCTTTAAATCATTGTGAAAGTTGTAATCTCTGTTGTTTGTTTGTCCGATCAAAACTCAGGAACCCATGGACCAATTTGCCTAAAATTTGTATTGGGGAACTCGGTAGACCCACGGGAATGTTCTTAGCATGGTTATGATATTCTAAGAGTTGAGTATGCCCACTTTTAACTGGAAAAATAGCTAAAATCTTAATTTGACTCGCCTGGGCCACGCTGGGTTTCCAAGCTATACAATAATACAATATTTTCATCATTTATATTTGCCTTACAAAATTGTCATAAGCTATGTATTCGACTTTTAGTAGATCTAGGTAAACAGGATTTAAGAACTGTTTTATGTAAAAATCTTGAATCTATTGCACAAGATTGTAATGTACAATCTAGAAATTTAAACAAATTTTGCGTTAAACAAAATATGATATACAATCATATTCCTTTTGACCAAGAATGAAAATTACCCATTCTTCATGATTTACTTAAAGTTAAAGAAGATAATTTTGTTCTAAACAACTTTGATGATAATGAGATCGCAACCATGATCAACTTTTATGTTCCGACTAGAAACTTTATTTATATATTATACTTTATTCTTGTTTTTGTCTTATCATATTCTACCATTTTACCTTTGTGTACGAAATAAATCTATATATACATATACATATATACTGGTATATAAGTTTGGTTCTAAATAACTGTACTCTAGGTACATATACTGGTATATAAGTTTGGTTCTAAATAACTGTACTCTAGGTACATATACTGGTATATAAGTTTGGTTCTAAATAACTGTACTCTAGGTACATATACTGGTACATGAGTTGGGTTCTAAATAACTGTATTCTAGATACATATACTGGTACATGAGTTGGGTTCTAAATAATTGTACTCAAGGTACATATACTGGTATATAAGTTGGATTCTAAATAACTGTACTCCTGGTACATAACCTGGTAAATAAGCTGGGTTCTAAATAACTGTACTCTAGAGTCTAGGTACATATAATGGTACATAAATTGGGTTCTATATATCTGTACTCTTTGTTCATATACTAGTACATGAGCTGGGTTCTATTTACCTGTATCCTACGTCCATATACTGGTACATGAGTTGGGTTCTATGTACCTGTATCCTAGATACATATACTGGTACATGAACTATATACCTGTATCCTAGGTACATGTACTGGTACATGAGCTGGGTTTGGAGGTTCTACATTAAGAAGGAAGAGTACGGTAGAGATGAACAACTCCATCTAATTAGGAAGCTGATGGGGGTCAGCCAGGGACAGTTTAATAACATGGAGATCAAATAATTTATCCTACATCTATATATATATATATATACTTTGCTTGTCTGGGTGTCTAGGTGTCTGTTTAATTATTTGTTTATTTCTTTGTTTGCTTGTTTATATCCTATATACGCCAAAACTACTAAAGCGATCGGACTCGAAGAGCTTTAAAAAAAATTGTGCTTACTTACTATTGAATCTAACATATTTATCATATTTATAGAAGGGCCGGGAATATATTATATCCTGTATACGCCCTGGTCCTGATGTGGATGATATGAAGTGGAAGATATGCTTGTGAAAGAATTGTGGAAACCAGATAATTTAGAGGAATATAAGACAATTAGACAATTAGACTAAAGGAACTGAGATTTTTTAATTCCCATATCTCTGCAATCCGACGTGGTTGACTATTGATATTTCAAATTATAAATTCTGTCAAATCAAATATTCGAGGTTTAAAATATTAAACGATAACACCATCAGGTTGAAAAGATATAGATATCTTTCAGGGATTAGAACATTTTAGTTTGTGGCAAAAACTGTTTTTTTTAATGTTTTATTTACTGTCCACTTTACTAAAAGACGGGTTGGAACTATAGGTTTCTAGGGAACGAAAACTTTCGCGAAAAAATACGAAAATTTTCGTTTGCAAACTTTTTGCAAAATTTCGTATTTTTTACGAACTTGAATAAAGCGAAAAAATACGAAATTGTACAATCAAAAGCTTTNTGGAGGGGTTCACCTACTATATGTTATCGTAACTATATGGCTTGAACAAATTTCCTAATTTCCTTTAAAAGTTTTCATGCCCAGGGATCATTGTAGTTAATTCAGTCGCAGAAACTGCGCTGGGTAACCCACATACTGGGTACACTAGACGGGCTGGTACAAGTAAACATTACACCAGGAAATCTTTGTAGCGGTAATTCAATTTGCAAAGAACATTTTTATATTTGAAGAATTCTGTTGACATTTTTACATTAATTGTTTTAAAAATTATTATATAAAAAAGAAATGTATAGGGTGTCACTGTCCCGCAAAACATGAAAGTTGAGAAACGATTTGAAGGTCGTCCTTGATTTTTAAAAAAATTTTCAGCATTCATTTATCAAAATAATTATTTGTCCAATTCTTGAAGTAAAGGGACTGTAAGCTGAAAATTGAATCCACAAAAACCATCAAGACAAATTTTAAATATTCTTTGATATTTCCTTTTACAAAAAATATTGTATTTGATATTTTCATTTAATTTAATATTCAAATTATTGATTAATTTTCCTACTTTAGTTTGTGTCATGTCACTCGAAATTAGTATTTTCATCATTATATTTGATAACGCATGTTTTTATTGCCGTTTAAAGCAATAATGAAATATTTCAAACAAAATAAGCACATTTTTAATAATACTAAAAGTTTTATAACATTTCTCTCACATTTTTCTCCAATATTGTCGTCTTCACATCCTAAACAATTGATTATAAAAAGGGATATCAGGGGTCTTTTTTTTTACATCTTTAAGCTTTTAACAAAACATGATAAAAAGGAAATTTTCTTGAACTTAGAAATATTTAAATTTGAATTGAATACATCTTGAAATATTGGTCAAAATATTTTGAAATTTTAGCCAAGATATTTTGAATCTTTGGTCAATATTTCTTGCATATGTATTCAATATATCCAGATTTTTTGCCAACATGTCTTGAAAATTTCTTGAATCTTGATACTTTGATCAATATATCTAGAAACTCTGGACACGATATCTTGATACTTTGATCAATATATCTAAAAACTTTGGACAAGATGTCTTGATACTTTGATCAATATATCTAGAAACTTTGGACAAGATATCTTGATACTTTGATCAACATATCTAAAAACTCTGGACAAGATATCTTGATACTTTGATCAATATATCTAGAAACTTTGGACAAGATATCTTGATACTTTGATCAATTTATCTAGAAACTCTGGACAAGATATCTTGATACTTTGATCAATATATCTAAAAACTTTGGACAAGATATCTTGATACTTTGATCAATATATCTAAAAACTTTGGACAAGATATCTTGATACTTTGATCAATGTATCTAGAAACTCTGGACACGATATCTTGATACTTTGATCAATATATCTAGAAACTTTGGACAAGATATCTTGATACTTTGATCATCGTATCTAGAAACTCTGGACACGATATATTGATACTTTGATCAATATATCTAAAAACTTTGGACAAGATATCTTGATACTTTGATCAATATATCTAGAAACTTTGGACAAGATATCTTGATACTTTGATCATCGTATCTAGAAACTTTGGACAAAATATCTTGATACTTTGATCAACGTATCTAGAAACTTTGGACAAGATATCTTGATACTTTGATCAATATATCTTGA